CGCAGTTATCATGTTCAAATATCACATTAAGAGATAGCAAGAAAGGAAGGGTGGGAGGAAGAGGGAGGGAGAGAGACTGACAGATAGAGATGTTCACTTTGCAGTTTGATGAACAGAAAAGGGGAGTAAGAGCCCTGCAGAGACTTCAACAAGGACCTACTCCAAGTTGGGAGTCGGCAAATACAATCTGCAGTGGCAAACCGCAGTGGGGCCTTCCATGTACAGCGCCCCAAGAAGATGAAGATGCCGTCCACCATAGCCAGGTAAGCACTCCCGTCACTCTCCTCCTTGATCACCTTCTTCCTCCCTCATCCTCCTATACACCGGAGTCATCCTCCTTGGCCCGCTCCACCATAGCCAAGGTAGGCGGCCAAGTCTGCCTTCTTCCTCTCCAGCGCTGGTGCTCCCAGCACTCGCTCCAGCAGTGTGACGCCAAACTTGCACACCGCAAATGAGGGAGAGCAAGAAGTGCTCTCCCAAGATATATCGGGCAGCTTGCCTCTTGGGCAGCGACTTTCCAGGCCACTCAGCCTCCCAAGCATCCGGTACCTTCCTCCTTTCGGAGGGACACATCATTGCAGGTCTGATATCGCCTGCTAGAGGGCCTAGACGCTGACTACAGGGCTGGTAACAGAAGACATAGGCCTACCAGACTTCTAAAATTCACTCGGCAGTCTTGGCCTCTAAAGGTACTACCTTTTGTCCCTTTCTGCCTACCTACTGCTACTCAAGTATTTTCTAACATACGCGGGCCTACCCTACCCGCTACTTGAGTGTTTCCAACTACGCAGGCCTAGCCTACCACTATGTCTCCGCTGCAACCCCACAGAAGCACGGCCACAGGTAAGTACCAGGCCCGAGGACCTTGCAAACATACAAGCACCCTGGTGGGTCACACACCCAGTCAAGCAATCATGCACTCAGACAGGCTTACGGGAACCAGCAAGCGCGCACACACACACACACACACACACACACACACACACACACACACACACACACACACACACACAGACTTAGAAATCTCGGCTTAAAGCACGAATCTCAGCAAGGCACAGATTTTCCAGCAGCAAAACTCAGAAATCAGGAGAGAGAGTTCTCAGGCTGTGATTTTGCAGGTAAAAATTACACAGGAATGAAAATTTGATGCTGGAATGTGAATCTGAAAACAGAAAACACAGACTGCACAAACATCCTCAGAAAAGCAGGAAGAGCTCATCAACCCAAACTTTGAGAGAGAACTCACCCCAGGAACACCCCTAGCCCAAGCCATGGGGCCAGTACCACCAGCGGATCCTTGGGGTCAAGTCCAACAGCTTCTTCTGTAGTCACAACCACCTGACCAACCTGAGGGCACAACAAGAAGCACCACAGAGAGAGAGAGAGAGAGAGAGAGAGAGAGAGAGAGAGAGAGAGAGAGAGA